GGGGCTTTCCAGCTGGACGGCTCTGGGCTTCGGTGCCCTGAGGGTGGGGGGGTCCTCGCTGCAGTTTGGGGAGCCCTGGGCTGAGGTCACTGTCCCAGGGGGAAGCCCCATCACCTCCTCTTCTCCCCCCCACCCCAGACATCACCCTACAGTGGCTTATCCAGCACTCGAAGTCACGGAGGAGCTGAGACGGCGTGACATTGAGCGTTTTTTGTTTTTTTCATATGTTTATTAGCCATCTGTACGTCCACTTTGGAGAATAATCTACTCAGGTCCTTTGCCCATTCTTTAAAGGGAAAACTGCTCGTGGTTTGGATATCAGTTAGGTGTCCAGGAGAGGTGCCCAGCACAACTGCCATCTTCCCCGTCTCCGATCGGCTCCCCCACCCCACCCCGATGCAGTCAGGTGTCCAGGAGAGGTGCACAGCACAACCACCATCTTCCTGCATTCTCTCTCCACTGCTTCCTACCAAAGGGGGCAGCCACATCACACCATGGTCTCTCTTTTGAGGGTTTGTCAACAAGGAACTAAATCTCATTACCTGTCTAGGGAGGGGCTTAGAAAGGGAAGTGGTAAGTGTCCCTGACACTAAAGTGCCTCTGAAGCTTCAACTCATCCAAAAGCCAGCAGCAAACGTGTATATACCCTGCAAAGATCTTTGACACGAACCCGGCCACTCCCAGGCCCCCACCCCCGCCCCCACGGGGGGGCACCTGGCTTTCTGTTCTCGGGGTTGTTTTTTTTACAGTCGCACAGGAGAGAACTCAGCGTGGGGTGGGGTGGCTCTCTGGGCTTTGTGTGTGTTTGTTTGTTGGTTTTAATTTAATGATTTGTAAAGTGATGGTCTTCTGCCTTTTTATTTTATTTTTTTTTATACTTTCCAGCTCCTATTTAACCTCTGTTTGGAGAACGATTCTTGTAACTGTACATTTTTTTTTTTTTTGCCTCCTAACAACAACATGAATAAATTAGCCATTTTATGCTGGGGGGTGAGGTGTCAGCTGT